ATGCTCCATGGAGACCTCACACCCCTAGCAGTGGCTGAACCAACAGCGACCCAGGTGGTACCAGATCCTAATCCAGGAAATCAGACTTGGTCCACTCCACCCAGATCCTCGCTGCCTCCAAGATCCGCAGAGCTGTTCCCGTTCCGCCGTCGGGATGGCAGCGCACGCTCTGGATGTCTGTTCTGCAGCTCCCGTTACAACATGGAAGGGCGTAGCTTTCCAGTGCCTGGACTGGGTGGGGATTAGAGGAGCAGCCTTTGGGACTAAACTGTAGACCAGGAATTCCACCTTAAATGGGAGGACAAGTAAGCTGGGGAAAATAGAATTTTTACCTCTCATCCTTGTTCATTTGATTTTTTTTTTTGAGTGTGTGAAATTAATTGTGGTTCTAAAAAATCTAAACTATATAAAAGGATATAGTCACTAATATTTTTTAAAAAATTTGCCAGAGAACCCTGTTTCACAATTGTCATCCCATCTGAACTTGACAGAAACCCTGTGATGATAGGCCAGCTGTGGTGGCACAGTGGTGACACAATGCTCTGCAATGCTCTGACCTTCCTGTGGGAAGGTCCTGGGTTCATGGCCTGAGGTCTCCCTGTATACACTGGGTCTATATCCATGTGCCCACGAATCTGGCTGGTGGAAGCTGGATGTGGATTGTGGCACGAAGACCCTGTTGAGGATGTCTGTCTCTTTTTCAAAAGAAATAAATAAAAACCAAAGCCCATGTTACAGGCATGTAGCTGTCTGCATTTTTCTCAGGGGGCACAGAGGGGCTCCGGCCCCTGCCACTCTTCGTCAGCATGGTGCAGCACGTGGTGCCTTCTCAGAGCAGGGAAAAGAATGAGGGTCCCTAAGCTGCCCACTGGGTCACGGAGCACAACTCCAGCATACTCTCTGCTGTTTCATTACTAATGATAACTCACTTTTGGCAAGCACACTGCTGGTTCATGTGTGCACGATCCAGGCAGAACCAGTCTCTGCAGGTGTCCGCGGCCTGGGAGGAAAGGGCAGGCCATGTCTTGCTTTGACCCACCTCTGCCCCGAGTAGGCAGATGCAGAGATTCCCACCTGGTTCCTCCCTGCAACTGCCAGAGAGAGAAGAGATGTGTTCATTAAGGCCGGCAGGTGTCTGCTTGAGGCAAACGGCTCCTAGGAATGAGCCCATGCCACTGCCTCTGGTAGTACTTCCCTGTCCCACACTCAGCTCAGCGAGCTCGGCAAGCTCGAACGAGGGGAGGAACAAGAGAGTTTCCTACTTGGAAATGATTTTCTCACCTTTCTAGACCCCCCGTTCAAGTTTAAAGACTATTTACAGGAGAAGGACTTCTCCCTCTGAACTAAACACACCAGTAGGCAGTCTTGGTTTTTCCAGTGTGGGGCACAAGCTCCTGGGCTCGGGGGGACAAGGTCTTAGCTTCCAATTTGGAGGCTTGTGAAGAAAAACCCTAGCAAAGAGCAGCCCAAGGGTGTGGTCACCCCAGAGCCAGCCCCAGGAACTGCCAGGCTCAACCCTGCCGAGCCTAGGGCCTTCAGGGAAAGGGGTACCCTCGAACGTGAACGTGTTTCCCAGTGCCCTTTCTGAGGGGCTGATTTGCTCCTTTCTTTTTCTTTCTTTTTCCCTCTATCTCTTTCTTTCTATCTTCGTCTTTCTTTTTCTTTTTCTTTTTTTTAAATCCATCTCTGCCTCCCTCTCTACCTCCCTGTAGACTCCTGCTGGGTATAGAATACATCCTACACCACTTTTCTTTCTCCCACACCGCCATGTCTGTGTCACAGCATGCTGAATGGGGTTCTTGTTAACTTGGCATTGATACCTGGGACCTACATGTAGAGACAGCTAGGGGACTGGATGGTGGCATGGCATTAAAGGCTCGCCCATGATCTGGGACCGGCCGAAGGCTGGGCTAGATCTCAGCGTGAAGACCCTGTCGGGAGTTCTGTCTTTCTGTTTCTCTCTCGCTTTCTGTATGTCTTGGACATGAGAGAAAGACACTTTACAAAAAAAGAAAGAAAGGGGAAAAAAGAGTCCATTAGTTTCTCTGGAGAGCTACAGCAGGATCAGAGCTCTCTCCTGGGGCCTGGCCTAACTACCATTAGCCGTCACCTGGGCCATTCCACCTCCCTCCTCCCCCAGGTCATAGACGTCACTAAGGGAGAGTCTTTGAAGCTATGCTTTGTTGGAAGCATGGTGGAAAGAAGAGGATTCCTCACCCTCCCATCCAGGAAGCAACTGGATGTGAGGACCCAAAGTGTGCATGGGGCGGGTGGCATGCTGCCCTCCTATTGGATGCCGGCTCCTACAGCAGACCTGCAGCTCTGCCCCTCATCCTGTCTGAAGGAGAGCTCGGGAGAGCTGAGGAAGGCGGAGGGCTGAGTGAGGGCGGGCTGTGGAAGAGCCAGCTCCCCGCCACTTTCAAGTAGACACTGCAAATCGCTGGCCAGTCCTCCTCCAGACTCACTCTGCGCAAGGCTGAGGGGCATCAGAGTGGCGAGGCCTGACATGCGATGGCTGAGAAGACCCGGGACGCCGAGCTGGTGCTCCTGTGTGCAGCCTGGGAGGCAGTGAGCCATGTGGGAAGGCCTGGGAAATAGCATGTTTGGGCAGTTTATTCTAGTGTTCTCCATCTCATCCTCTTCCCCTTTCTCTCTGCTTGTGTGCGTGTGTAAGAATGGCAGGGGTGCAGCCTTGGGTCAAACCCAGGCTCTTCCTGCCCATTCTCTCATGATCAGGGAGTGGGAAGACTTAGCTATATTCTTTTGTTAGTTGGTGAGAAAAGGTAGGTGCACGCCCATAAACATCCCGAAATAAGTGGTTATGGCTCAGTCACCTGACCCATTTCAAACCAGTTATACTGTCATTTAAGGGTACTGGGTTTCCTAAAGTTTCTGTATGAGCTGGAAGGGGTCCCTAAGGCTGATCTGCTGGCCCGCCGAGACCAAGGGAATGAAAACTCTCCATCCCATCAGGTAACAGACACATAAACAAAGCAGCCTTCAGCGTGGGAAGAAAGGAGAATAAGGTTTCTAAAATCACAAAGAACATTTTACGGGTAAGGCAGATGTATTCACAGTTAAGAAAAGTCCAGAATGTTAGAATTTGAAACTTGAAAGACTTAAATTTGGGGAAGAGAGGGGCAAGAACTTGGGATGAGCGTGGGGCCAGGGCAAGTGTACAGATTTACAATCTGGAGCGCTGGATGGAAACCCTAACTGGGACTTTGTGGGGTAAGGCATCTTCTCTCAGCCTGTCCCCAGCTCTAAACAGGAATTGACTACCTGCCTGCCTCCTAGGGTTTCTGTGAAGACCAGGGGAGAAACTGACAGGGAAGCTGAACGTGCTCTCTGAATTCTCTCTCTTCCTTGCTGACACTCCTTGCTTTGCCGATAAGTTGCAGGCCTGTAAGGGCCATGATAGGGAGCTGAACGCAGTCAGAGACAGGAAGTTGGGCCGTGTCCTGAATTCTGAGATCAGGATCCTAGGGAACAATCTTGCATTCGCCAAACAGGTCCCTTGGTACCATTTGTCCAGGGACAAGCAGAGTTGGCAGCCTGCTCTGAGGCACGGCTGGGCTCTGTGATGGGCTTCCGAGAGATTCCTCATGGGGGTTTGTGGGTGATGGATGGGCAAGAGCACATAGATAAAAGAAGTTCCAGAAACGTCAGGGGCTGACAGGGGATGCCAAGGACTCCTCTGGCCCATCTGTCCCTTGTGGCTCAACTGACATCCCTGGTGATTTCTTGCAGCCCTTTCTGGGTCTGTGAGTGTAGGTGCCGGAGCAGCAGTCCCTACTTCCGTCCTGAGCCAGTATAGCTCGTGGCAGTCTTTGGCCCTAGGTTGTGGGCGTGGCCACTGTTCTCAGCCATTTGGAGCTGCACCCCTTAGATTTTTTCCCCCTCTTGACTTTTCTGCCTTCTCACTGTGCTTAGAGACCCCGTGCACTCGCTCTGCCTCCTCGCGGTGCTTAGAGACCGCATACGCTCACCATTGCAGACTCACCGCAGCAACTCTTAGTTGGGTGCTGAGAACCGTTGATTGCTGCCGTGGTGGTTTGTGGGTATTGGAAGCTTCTACTGACACCTGGGTTTAGATTAATTACTAACTTAGATCAGAGTGTTCACAGCGTGAGTTGCTACTGGTTTCATTTAAAATTGTCTTAGTATTTCTATAAGGTCTTAGGCTTTTCAGTAAAGGGTTTCCATCTGAATGTTTATCAGTACCTCCGTTATTTTTGAATTGGAGGAAATGGGTGAAGAGTCTTTTTAACCACTTATGAACCTCAGGTTCTAAATGATGCCCGAGAACCCCAGGGTATCAACAAAAGGCAAGCCCTGGGGAAGGGAAGGAGGCTTAGAGACAACGGGCCTGTGTCCTGTCACAAAACCATTCCTCTAGTATTTGAAACGGAGGAATTTAATGCCGATGACTGATTATGGGGGCGGTAGAAGGACTGAGGAGTAAAAACCTAACGTCAGAGCATCCTAAAACTAGCAATTGCTGGACAGCGCGACCACCTGGGGACTACAGGACTGAAGGGGACTTTCTCCGGAGGTCACAGCACTGCCTGAGCTGGAACCCGGAACCCCGCACTCACTTAGATGCGCCACCTACTGCTGTCACCTCACTGGCTAGAGCTCAGCCAAGTGGCCACACCTGCCTGCGGAGAGGCTGGGGAATGTAGTCTTCCTGAGTGGGCGAGAAAGGGAATGAGTTTGTTGTCAACTGGTCTGTGCTACACGTGGGCGCAGGAGTCACAGCTGTTAGGAGAGGACAGTGGTCCTTTTGGAGAGTCCAGCCTGAAGACGGCATGTGTTTGTGCCCGCGCGTGTGTACGTGTGCATGTGCGTGTGTACACACATGCCTGCCCTAGCACCAGGAGGTAGGACAGGAGGGTTCTGAATGCAGTTCCCCTCCCTGCCCCTGCACTCGTGTCACCGCTGCCCCTCCTCCCGGCCCTCGGAGCCTCACTCGGCTGACCCATGTGCTCTGTTTTCAGGGAGCCCTGGCCCAGCCTCAGCCGTGGTGGAAGATCCAGCTGTTCGTGTGGGAGCCGGTGCTGTTCGGGACCTGGGACGGTGTATTCACATCCTGCATGATCAACATTTTTGGGGTTGTCCTGTTCTTGAGGACTGGCTGGCTGGTGGTGAGTGAGGAGCCGATGGCCCTGAAGCCTCCCGTGGGCCCCTCTGTGGAAAGCTCCATCACTCTCGGCTTTCCTCAGTGCAGAACACAGATTCCCAGAGCAGATGCTCTTGAAACATGAAACAAGAAGCACAGTGAATAGCTAGCATTGTGCTTTATGTATTTCTTAAAGTTTATTTTTCCCATGTGCAAGAGAGACAGAGAGGGAGGAGAAAGAGAGTCCGAGGGTTCTTAACTCCCCCGAGACCTGGTAAAGGTCGACCTTCCTAAACTCTCATTCTACCCAGCCCTTAGCTCAGGGCTCACCTCCGCCATAGTGTGGGTAGGCCTGATTGGTGCGTGGTGTACCTTTAGACAGGATCTCACAGTATCGTGGTCTCCTGCCTCAGCCTTTCTGGGAGCTGGGACTGCAGGTGCACACCACTATGCCCGGTCTCTCAGACAGGGTCTCACTAAGTTGCTAGTGCTGGCCCATGAGCTGGTGGCCCCCCACTTCAGCCTCCTGAGTCGCTGGGACCACAGGCACATGTCACTGCATCTGGCTTTTCAGAGTGAGCTGGGACTCACCTTAGCCTGCTAAATAACAGTGTCCAGTGTGCTATCTCAGCTGGCCCATGAGTTTTTGTTTTCTACTTTGGGGTGCATGCACTTATCAGAGGGGGGTGGTGCAAAGTAAGAAATTGCTCCCCGGAGGTGAGTGGCCATGCTGCAATCCCTTTTCCTCCATTCTCCTCTCAGGATTTTGGGAATGCATGCAAATATGCCTGGCATGTTTTTCAAACCCCTGGGTCTGGGACTTGAACTGCAGAGTTGGCCATGGGGATCCAGTGCCTTAACCACCACATCACCTGCTGGGCCAGGCTTCATGTTTTTGTAAGTGGGAGCCCCTGTAAGTTTGGAGAGGTATGAGAGGCATGAATGTTTAGTATCCATACCAAAGAGCTTGTGACCCTGATCTAAGCTTTTCATGCATTAACACAAAACATTTTTATGGAGCCAGCAGGTGGCATAGAGGTTAAGGTGTTGGATCTCATATGGCCAACTGTACAATTCAAGTCCCAGATGTGGTGCTGAAAAATCAACACTCTCGTCTTTCTCTGGCCCGGTAGTAAAATTCTAAAACAAAAGCAGAAATAAACAAAAAACCACAAAGCCTCCAGCTCAGACTCCTTTACTCTGGCACTCTAGCTTCTGGGACCAACCCTGATTTTTCCCCTTCCCCACCTTACTGCCCATCACCTTTCCAGATGGGGAGGCCCATCAACGTGACCATGATGGCAGAGGAGTCCTGCCCAATGAGCCTGGGTTCCCTAAACTCTGCTTCATCCATGATTGGGGGAAAGCAGAAGGAGAGAATGAAAAGCTCTGTCTTGACTCAAAACTTTAACCCTCTCACTGAGCTATTATTAATTTTTTTGGAGAATTAGCTACCTGAAGTGTCAGTTGCATTCCTAAAGTGAAGGTACAAATTGTATTAGTTATCTATTGCTGCATAACAAATTACCCCAACACTCAGCTGCTTAAAGTAACAGATACATATTATACATATTATCGTACAAGTACAACTTAGGTGGGTGCCTCTGGTTTAAGATCCTGACAGTCTAGCTGTTGGTTGGGGCCACAGTCTCATCTGAAGGCTCAAACGGGGGAGAATTTTTTCCCAAGATCACTTAGTAGCTAAGGCTACTCAGGCCTCTCCAGAGGGTTACCTCATAACGCACCGGCTGGCTTTCTATAGGGTGAACAGTCTAAGAGTGAATGAGACAGAGCCAACACCCTTGGCAGAAGCCACAATTCTTCCATATCTAAATCTCAGAGCAACACCCTGTTGCCTCTGTAACATTGTAGTCATTAAAAGTGAGTCTCTCCAGTGAGCACATGGACCCTTTAGCAAAAACTAAAAAAAAACTAAAAAAAAAAAACTAAAAAAGAAAAAAAGTAATAGTAAGTCACTAGATGGATGAAACAAGCAACCTAGAATGAAAATGCCTGTATATCTAATTTTGCACTCCCAAAACTATGAAATATAACAAAATTAATGTGATTATGTTGAATGACTAAACAAAACTTTTGCATACTTGAAAAAAAAGTGAGTCCCTCGATCCAGGGTAAACTCAAGGGTAGGCGATTGCACCAGGGCATGAATACTAGGAGGCGGGGACCATGAGGGGCTATTTTGGAGGTTCTCTGCCACACATATTCATCCTTTTGCCCCAAAATGATCTGTAACTTTTGCTTTTGACATTTGCTTCACATGAAAAGTCCTCTTTGTTCATAAAAACAAGGGCAAGTGTGAAGTGCCAAAGGTAAGACTGAGCTGCCAGGGGATGGCATAAAATTAAAATAAGTAGAGGCTATGCCCAACTTATTTAAAAATAGAAAATATTGACTATAAGGAAAAACTTGGTGGAATACTTATAATTTGAAAAATGGTCAAGTAGAAGCTATGCTATGAAAATGTAAAGCTGTGATTGTTATAGAATATAGACTAAAACTTGAACAAAGGAAAAAAAACAGTAATGCATCATTTTATTTAAAAATTAAAGTCATGGCGACTAGGTGATGGTGCAGGGCTGAAATGCAGTGCTAGGCAAGCTGAACCACAGGGGCAGTTCTGGGATCATGGCTAGAGACCTTCCTGAGCACACGGGGCACCCGTGTGCCCATGATCTGAGGCTGGCTGAGGCTGGAGCTGGAGCATGGTCAGATGGAGGTACCATCTCTCTGTCTCTCTCTCTCTCCTCTTGTTTGTCTCTCACTTGTGGAAGAAATAAATTAATCAGCTGAAATATATATAAAATATTTAATATATTTTATAAAATTATACACATACACATATATACATAAAATCAGTAAAGGAAAAAAACAACCGTGCTCAGACATCATGCTGTCATATAGCCTGACAGCATTTCCATCCCAAAAAGCTGGGGCTGGGGAGTGGGATGGGGCAAGTGGGCACTTGGTTGGCTCCTGCCAGTTCTCCTTACCCTGGTCTCACCAGCAGAATCGCTTCTCCACTGCCTAGAAACCCCACCCGTGTCGTGTACCATCTGGCAATCGCTGGGTTTTCGTACACATTCCCACGATACCATTGGCAGGAGCCCAGAGAGATTTTTATTCTCCAATGTAGCCATTAAAAAGGAAATTGAGTAGGTGGAATATTTTTAAATTGCATTTTAATAATTACTGGTAACAGCAACGAAAGTTTATCGAGCATTTATGTGACAGTTGGCTAAGTGCTTTAAAGGTATTTAACGCTCCTAAAATTTAATATTTCCTGACAGCCTATGAGATGAACATTACAGGAGAGGAAACTGAGCATGGAAAGGTTAAGCCGTGGGAGCCCTAGCTGAGGAGGTGCTCGTGCCCCTTGTGAGACCCGCAGCCTCGCATCCCCCTTAGCTGTGGCATGTGCTGAGTCCGCTCTTCTCTGGATCTTGCTTTTCTCGCTGAAATGTGTCTGTCACATGTGAATGTCTTCAGGCATGCGTGTATTTAGTTATTCACTCGACAAGCATTCCATGAGCAGTACTGTGGAGGCTGTGCTAAGTCCCAAGGGTACAAAGGGGAACAAAACACAGTCTGTTCTCCCGGAGCTCACAGCCTAGAAGTCCACGCTGACTGAGCCCTGGGTACTGGAGGAGCCTAGGGGAAGGTTATATGAACAGCGTCCCGGAGGGGGACATCCAGCTCCGATCTTAAAGGCTGCAGGGAGCTAAGGTGGCAAGGGAGTGGCATGAGCTGCAGAGAGTTCCAGGCAGAGGGGTCAGCGTGGGCCCCAGGGTGGCAGGGAGAAAACGTGGCTCTGACTAGGAGGCACGTCACAAGCATCTTGAGTGGCTCTGACTTGGCCGAGAGGTCGGAGGCCATCAACGAGTTTGAAGCGAGACCCTTTCCCCGCATCTCGTGATGGACGGGCCATGGCTCGTGCAGCTTCCTTTGTCCTTGCCCAGTTGCGCTGCTTCAGTCCCCTCTTGGGTTACTTCCAGAAATACCCGAGGAGAGATGACTCAGGAGGGATGAAGGTTTATTAGACTCAGTTCTGGGGGCTACAAAGCCGGAAGGCATGATGCTGGCATCGGGCTGGCCCAGCATGGATGGCAGAAGCAGAGAGGATGGTGGGCGAGCGCAGGGAGTGCGAGCTGGGGTGGGGGCTTCCATGAAGGACGACATGCTGTGAGAACGAAGCCCAGCCGTGAGAGCTAACTCACTCACTGCATCTCCTGAGACACCGTTAATCCACTGGCAGGAGTGACGGGCGGCTCCATGTCCTAGTCACCACCCCTAGGCCTCAACTCTTAGAGGTCCACAACGCCATTAGGCTGGGGACCAAATTCCAAAACGTGTCCCCTTTTGGGGACAAGCCATAATACCCGTCCTTGTGGTCCAGCTCGGTTCCCCTCTAATTCCAGCACTGGGGTACAGGCGAGCTACCAGCTGGGGTGGCGTTGCAGGCCTCCTGTCCTCGCCTGACCTTGCTCCGTGCTGTCTCCTTGCAGGGAAACACGGGAGTGCTGCTGGGCATGTTTCTGGTGTCCTCCGTGGCCCTGGTGGCCCTCATCACTGTGCTGTCGGGCATCGGCGTCGGGGAGCGCGGCGGCGTGGGCAGCGGCGGCGTGTACTCCATGATCTCCTCCGTCCTGGGCGGCCAGACAGGAGGCACGGTCGGGCTGCTCTACGTGTTTGGACAGGTGAGGCCGCGGCACTGCGCTGGGGCGGGCCTTCCTCATCCCACCTGGCGAGAAGGCAAGGTGAGGACAGTTGCCCCGTTTTATCCATGAGCAGTCTGGGGCTCAGGGAGGGGCTCGGCGGCAGAGCCAGGCCATGTCCAGTCCAATCTCCTCCCCAGCCTTTGGGTTCCTGATCTGCACTGGGGGGTGGGGGCCGGCAGGGCTGGAGCCCAGGTGCCAGCCAGGTAGCCTGGGCTCTGGGCAGTTTTCTTGCGGAAGACGGGCCATGTGCCTGTGCTGAAGGACTTGCCTAGAAGCAGGCGCTTCACAGCTAAGCTGGGACTCTCAGGCACGCTTGGTAGCTTGGGTGGCCTTAACCGGGAGGGGAAACCCGGTGGGGCTGCTCTGAGAAGGAGAATGCTAATGAGGAGGCCCCTTGATCTGGATGGATGGAGGCGCTTAGAAAACCAGTGAGGAGGGAGAAATACCTTATTTAGCTAAAACACTGGGCTGGTGACTTAATGCTGAGGAAACGAAGCGCAGACATTAAGAAACAGTTCTTTGTAAGCATTTCTTGGATTGAAAAAGGCTTTTATCATAGTGCAAAGGGTGGTGGGTGGTTGAAAAAACAGTTTAAAGAAAAGAATTTGTGTAGGTAGGAGTATAGAGTCTCCTCAAAGAAAGAATCGGCTTTGTTTATTTTATTTTTAGGCAGCAGAGGCAGAGATTTTTCGGCATCAATACATCTGATTTTCTACCAGCACTTAGCTCTGTGTGTGTGTGTGTGTGTGTGTGTGTCTGGGGCAGATGTATGGAAGGCAGATAGACTGTCATTCTACTCTTTTTTGAAAGAAAGATTTTTGCTATAGGACATGTATGTGCTTGTCAGAGAGAGACAAAGAGACAGAAAGTGAAAAAATCCTCTCTCCCCCCAGGGGGGACGGCCACACTGCAGTCCCTTCTCCATTTTCCTCTGGCATTTTGGGCTCCTCTGGCATTTTGGGCATGCACGCACATGCGCCAGTGAGTTTTAAGCTGGGACTTGAACTATGGTCGACTATGTGAGAGTCCAGCTATGTAACCATTACACCACCTGCTGGTCCCATCCACTCTTTTAAGAGAAAGTGAGAAAGCTCCCCCTGGGGGAGGTGATGGCTAAGCCACAGTCCCCGCTCCTCCACTTTCCTCTTGGGGTTTTGAGCATACACTCACATGCACCGGGCATGCTTCTCAAGTCATTGGATCTGAGACTCGAACTGCATACCTGGCCTGGTGGAATCCGGCCACCTTACCTACCATACCACCTGCTGGCCCATCACTACACTCTTAGAACTCACTTGCCTTGCAGGATAAACACCTGAAAGTATGGTAGCCTGTGGAAGAGTAATATAGTCAGTTTCCTTTATGCTCTGGGGATGCTCTAGACTTCTTACTCCTGTGCTGTTTTATAGCCAAATAGGCTGCAAGATGAGCAAACGGAAGCCCTCACTCTTCCCACCACAAGCTAGCCTCTAGCAGCAGGTACCACAGATGGGAGACCAGCACTGAACGCCCTGGATAGAGAGAGGGAGCTGCAGTATTGAGAGCCTCCTTGTAGGGTGATTTGGAAGCAAAGATGTTCACAACTAAGACGATTTCTCAGCGGTGGCAGCCCCAGCCTGAGAAGCCATTGCATCAGCATCCTGCTGGTTTACCTGTTTTCCCTCTGGGCCTCGGACGGACATTACAGCCCCTCTGTTCAGGGTTTGCATGCCTCTGCCTTGTCCCTAGTTACCAGGGCTGGGAGTCTCTGATCAGGGCGTTACTGCATAATCCTTTTTATAAGTTGCTGCATTCAGTTTGTTCGTAGTTTGTTGAGGATTTTTGCTAATGTAGTCATAACAGTATTGGTCTGTAGTTTTCTGGTGATGTCTTTGTCTGGTTTTGGTGATGGCAGCGTCCCGTCCTCACAGAGTGAGTTGGGAGGTATTCTGTTCTATTTTTTAGAAAGAGTTTGTGAATGATTGGTGTTCATTCTGCTTTAGATATTTGGTAGAATTTAGTGTTGAGGCCATTTGGTTCTTGAGTTTTCTTTGTAGGAAGGTTTTTTTTTTTTTGGAGAGGTTTTTGCTATAGGGCGCGTGCACTCGCCAGACAGGTAGAGAGAGACAGAGAGACAGAAAGTGAGAAATCACCCCCCAGGGGGGATGGCCACGCTGCAATTCCTTCTCCTCCATTCTCCTCTTGGGATCTTGGGCACGCACGCACATGCGCCCATCGTGAGTTTTAAGCCACCGGGTCCAGGACTCAAACCGCGGTCAACTACATGGGAGTCCAGTGACATAGCCATTATGCTAACTGCTGGTCCCTGTAGGAAGTTTTTGATGAATAATTTAATCTCTTTACTTACGTAGGTATATTCCAATTTTCTACTTCTTCTTGAGTCAGTTTTGTTAGTTTGTTTCTTTCTAGGAATTTGTCTATTTCGTGTAGGTTATCTAATGTGTTGGATTATTCATTGTCTATAGATTCTTTTATAGTCCTCTTTGTTTGTAAAGTTAGTAGTAACTTCTCCTCTTTCATTCCTGATTTTAGTCATTTGAGTCTTCTCTCTCTCTCTTACCAGTCTAGATAAAGGTTTGTCTGTAAAGAACCAGTTTTTGGTTTTGTTAAATTTCTCTGTTGTTTTTCTGGTTCCTCTTCCATTTATTCCTGCTCTAATATGTATTCTCTTTCTGCTTGTTATAGTTTTCTCTTCTTTTTCTACTTTCTTAAATGGCAGGTTAGATTATGGATTTAAGCTCTCCTTCAAGGGTGTGGTCAGGGTTTCTGAGGTCCCCCCTTCCTGGTTTCTATAACCTCACACCCTCATTCCGGGATATGTGTGCATTCACTTATGTAGAGAGATTGCTGAAGCAGACTGCTTGGTTTTGCCCCTGAGCAGGAGTTGGCAAACTTCCATAAAGAGCCAGATAATAAATATTTTGGCTGATGTGGGCCTTATGTCTCTGTCACAGCTATAGAACCATGATGGTATGAAAGCAGCTATAGACAACATGAAAAAACAGGCAGAACTGTGTCCCAGTAAAACACACACTCACTGAGTAGGTGGTGTGGTGATCAGGGAAGCTGGATCTGACATGGCCAGATGTGTGGTTTGAATCCTGGACCTGGTGGCTTGAAAATCATGCTGGGCGTGTGTATGTACTTACCCAGAATCCTAAGATGATACTGGAGGAGAAGGGATTATGACGTGGCTATCCTACCTGGGGGGGTGATTTCTCACTTTCTCTCTTTTCTCTCTTTCTGGTGAGTGCACGCATCACATGGCAAAAACAAAAACAAAAAATAAATAAACCAAAACTTTATTATCAGGCAGAAACAAAATTTGACCAGTAGGTCCAAGTTTGCTAACACCTGCCCTAGAGCTTCAAAATCTAGGACATCTAGTCACTTAATGCTGTGATTTAAAAAGCTGGCAAAATCTTCTCATTGTTCCCTGTGCTCCAGATCCCTCCTCATCACTTCCATGAGGCCGTGGTAGCAAGCCAACTCTGTGGGACCAGGCTTCTTGGACAGTGGAGAAGACTCACCTTTGGGCTTCTTTGGAGCTGCTACCCTGTTTACACCAAAATGTCTAGCTTCAACCCACATTGACATGTGTAAAAGCATTTATTATTGGCTACCATGCTTTGTGCTGGACTCTCGAACAAAGAAAATGGAGGACTGGGAAGCTTTTATAGACCTGACACAGGCCTAGTGTTTTTTGTTAACACATGTGTAGAACATATGAGGGGTCCTTAAAACACTTGTGGAAATGCATATTGTGAAAACACTATGCGCGGATATAAAATACTTCTTGTACCAAAATGAATTTATATTTTAAGTCTATTTTTCCACAAACTTTTTGAAGTTTTCTGTTCTTTTTTAGAGAGGTCTTTGCTATAGGGTGCATGTGCTCGCCAGAAAGACAGAGAGAGACATAGAGACAGAAAGCGAGAAATCACCCCCCAGGGGGGATGGCCACACCACAATCCCTTCTCCTCCATTCTTCTCTTGGGATCTTGGGCACGCATACACACACACCCAGTGTAAGTTTAAGCCACCGGGTTTGGGGCTCGAACTGTGGTCACCTACATGGGAGTTCAGCGACATAGCCAGTACGCCAGCTGCTGGTCCCTATTCGTAGGCATTTAATTAAAGGATAGAAAAACCCTCAGTCGGAAAAACACTTGCACATCTATGTTTATTACAGCATTATTTACAATTGCTAGGACATGGAATCAACCCAAATGTCCAAAATAGATAACTGGATTGAAAAAAATGTGGCGTATGTACTCTATGTAATACTACCCAGTCATGAAAACAGTGAGGTCCTGACATTTGATACAAAGTGGACGAATATGGAAGACTTAATGCTAAGCGGAGTAAGCCAGACTAGGAAAGACAGACTTTACATATCCCCACTCAATATATACCGATTCTCTGTGCTATATAGCAAAAACTGAAAGTGAGGATGGTATAGAAGCAGGGAGGGCAATGGTAGATGCTAGAGATAGTAAGGATAGAGGGAATACGGGGGTGGTAATGGAGGAAGGGAAACAGCAAGAAAAAAAGTATGTTTAATTGGCAGAAAAGCTATTTGCGGATGATAATGTTTTTTAGTAATGTCTTTATCTTGACTGATATGCATGGTATTTGTGCTGGAAAAAGCAACATTGTACACTGTAAAGATAAATGTGATTAAATGTAAATTAAAATTTTTAAAAAATGGTGAGTGACACCTTCTAATAATATAGTGGGGAGTTGGTAATTTTTCAGTAGGAAATAAAAAAAATGGAATGACTGTGAGTATAAACTTTAGGAGGAAATAAAAATACTTTTAAAATATGATAAACTTTGGGGAGTTTACACGTTAAACAAGTTGCCAGGAATGTCTTCCAAGGAAAAGTAGTATTCTGTTGGAAGGTAGACAGGCTCTGGGGTAGTTGGATTGCTCTGGCGAGGGCCTGGCAGTCACTGAATGTCCACTGATGGCCTGA